TTTATTTTTATTAAATACTTTTAGTCCATTACATTTTAATTTAATTTTCATTGGTTAATAAATATGATACTGATTAATATAGTTTAAATTTTAGATTTTTTTAGTTTATTTAGTTATGATCTTCATACTTATCCTCAAACAAATAAGCTTAATTATGCATATAATAATATGAGTAATTAAAGTCTTTATAATGGACTCTGATCAAATATGGTTCTCTTTGGGCTTTCCTTCAAGGCGTTAACCCGTGTCTTATTTTCCTCTCCCGACTAATGAATGTGGGACATCACAATCCATCCCCTTCGGGGCTTAGTGTATTCACTGGCACTCTTTCCTTCTTCCATCCTTTCTTCCAATCGATGTGGGACCGTCACCGTGGGACATCACAATCCAGCCTCGAGACATCACAATCCACCCCCTTCGAGACCCAGTGTCCTCGCTGGCATTTTTTCCTTCTTCCAATCGATGTGTGGTCTGACATCACAATCCACCCCTTCCGGGCCAAACATTCTCACTAACACTCTTTCCTTCTTCCAATCGATGTAGGACCACCACCAAATCATGGGACATCACAATCCACCCCCTTCGAGGCCCAACATCCTCACTGACACTATTTCCTTCTTCCATTCCTTCTTTCAATCAATGTGGGACCGCCACCGTGGGACATCACAATCCACCCCCTTCGGGGCCCAGCGTCCTCACTGACACTCTCTCCTTCTTCCAATAGATGTGGGACCGCCATCAAATCCACCCCGCGTCCTTACTGGCACACTGCCTCGTGTCTACCCCCTTCGAGAAAGAGCGAGAAGTTTGACACATCGTCCGGTGTCTAGCTCTAATACCATTTATAACGGCCTAGATCAACCGCTTGTAGATATTGTCTTCTTTAGGCTTTTCCTTTCGGGCTTCCCCTCAAGGCTTTAAAATGCGTCTTCTTTTCTTTTTATTTCAAGTCAATCAAGCACGTAATTGAGTCTTATTAATCAAAACTTAAATACTTTTAATTTCTAAATTCTACTTAAAACATAAAAGAAACTCTCTTCCTTTACAAATTCATAAATTTAAAGCATACAAGGAATCAATAAACTAAGATATGTCCAAATTGACGGATATAGTTATAAGAGAATCTTTATATAGTAAGAAACACAATGTACTTCACAATATATGACATGACGTATGAATATGACGTAATAAATGGATAGGGATAATAATGTTATGATTTTGTTAACTTGGAACACATACACTTTTGATATCGTAGTCATAGTCTTAATAGTAATATTGTGGTCATAATCAAAGTTTTGTAATTTTCAACTCCGGGATTCAAATTAATCCGAACCCGCTTTAATTTTGGTAGGGTTTTATATTTTTTTGAAATCAATATTCTTATGTAGAAAGAAATAGAATGAAAAGATGGAATAATTGAGAGTATTGAGTGTTGGAAAGGGGAAAAAAATAATGAGTTTGTGTGTGGAGTTGGGATTGGAAGAGATGAACAGTAAGTTTGAATTCCAAGTCTTTGCAAAAGGATTCCTTTAGTCAATAACGTTTTAGTCTATTATCTATTTGTTTATGTGTTTCTTACAACAAGGTTTGTTCATTCAGATTCTTGTTTCCCACTATAAAAGGAGGAGCCTTGGCCACCCTCCCCATACCAACCTCAACCCCAACGCATCTCAAGCTCCCTTTTAGTCACTGACATGGGAGGGAACAGGCACAAGAAGTCTTCCTCTTCATTCTCCTTCCTTGCCTTCTTCAAATCCAAAAGGAGTAGAAAAGGAGACGGGTACGACCATGGTAGCACCTGGGACGACCTCTCGTGCCCTAGCAAGGTGTGGCCGAGCGATGCAGACAAACACCATCATTGGGTTGCCGAGCCTGGCATCGATAGAAAAGCCGATGATTACATCAAAAGGATTCATCTTAGCCGTGTCTTGGAAACCAAAAACCAAACTGTCACCGTCGCACCTTCGGGAACCAAGGCGGACATGTAAATCATCATCATCGTCATCATCTCTCTTTGTTTATTTTGTTGCATCCCCCTCTCTCTCTCTCCCTGTTATAATTCATTTTAAGTGTTGTGAGCTTATCAAATAATATATATACGACGATAGCTTAAACATTTTATTGATATCTATTCAAGTCTGTTATTGAAGAACAAGAATAAACAAATCATTTGAAGCTAAAAGCTTACAAAGTAAACCAATACTTAATTTAATTTGTTCCTCAACGTGGATGTCCACCAACCGGCTTGTCTTTTGCTTCTAACAACGTACGTACATTTCGAAGTACTTGTACAATCATTACCTTATCCAAATACTTCTCCAGGGAGATTTTGATGATTGATGAAACATTGAAAGGTTTCAAATTGAAAATTGTACTCTATGTCGTGTTTGGTTAATTAAGAGAAAGATCGTGAGTATATAAATATCTTTAAAAGGAGGAGTCCATTGTTCTTATCACGATGAACAGACAAATCATGTTATGCTTGCCAGGTTGATTCTCTTTGTATTTGAATTGAAGGAATGTTAAAAACATTTTTAAGTGCAATTTTTTTTTCTTTCTTTTGAGAAAAGTGAAAAGGTAAGATGCTTTCCCCTTATATTTTAGTTCAAGTGTAGGTTTGGTTTGGTTTAAAACAAAATTAGGCATTGCTTTACAGATTATATACATGATTTTGTTGTCGTGTAGTGGTTTTTAGTTCATCATATTACAGCTTTCAAAGTGCAATATGAAGAAAATTCCAACCCAAAGGAGTAAATAAGTAAAGAATTTAGGGTTTAGGGTTTCGGGGTTAGGGTCGGACCCTCTTCAAATTCTTTTTTACAGTCTCGAAAGTGAAGAATTTAGAAATTGCATAACTAAAGGAAGGTCCTTTATGTGGAGAAACCCAAAAAGACAAAGAAGAACAAAAGCTTTGCCGTAAATAATGTATGCACTTTTGTACTGATATTACTGGTAGGAACGAAGGACCTCCACAATAATACCATAATTTTCAATTGGAGTATAAGTTTGGGTGGTTTTGCTTTTGATTTCTCTATGTTTCATTCTTAATTAGGAACGTAGAATTCCGACCATTTTCAATGATTACATTAAAAGGAAAAAGATAAAAGGGTTTGAGGCCCTCCACTCCAAGTGCGTGTTTTTTGTCCCCAAAATGAAGGTGAGAGCAGCTGTGTTTTGTTCTTTTGCTTTTGCTTCAGCTGTACTTGAGAGAATCTTAGAACATAATTACATTTATTTAATTAAATGAGTGGTTTTATTTAAAACCCAAAAGGGATTAATAAAGGAGATTCTTTGTAAATATCTAAGCTTTTGGGCAGCTAATTCTTCCAAATTTTAAACTCGTGTGGTTCTTTGGACGCAGCATCGCCCTTTGATGTCCTCTCAAAGAGCATGAGTGGTTATCATTTGTTGTTAGCTTCCCTCGTGCTCAATATCAAAGATTGAAACCAAGTGATTGATTTAGAAGAATTTGATATCAATGATTGAAACCAAGTGATTGATTTAGAAGAATTTGATATCAATCTAGGGCAGCATGGGTGGGGAGTGTGTAGGAGGATTCCATGCATGGAAAAGAGAATTGAAGTCCAAGTGATGGATTCCTTTATGTAGGGATTGTTCATGCGTTTTTGACTAAACCTCCTCCATCAATTCATGGGAGTGGTTTGGATCCTACACATTGCCCTGTTCTTCAGCTCTCCAATGATTCAGGCACTGCTTTTTCATATTCATTCATTGTTGGGTACATGGGAGAAGCTTTGTTTTCAAGTACATGGGAGAAGCTTTGTAGGCTAACCGTGTTGAGGATTATTGGGAGTGAGTTCCACGTTGGTTAATTTAGTGGAAGATCATGAGCTTATAAGTGAGAAATATATCTCTATTGGTATGAAGCCTTTTGGGAAAGCCCATAACAAAGCCATGAGAGCTTATGCTCAAAGGGGACAATATCATACCATTATGAAAAGTTTTGATTCCTAACATGGAATCAGAGCTATGTCTTAAACTTAGCCATGTCAATAGAATTCTCAAATATCGAACAAAGAATTGTGAGCCTCAAAGGTGTAGTCAAAAGTGACTAGAGTGTCAAACAAAGGGTGTACTTTGTTCGAGGGCTCTAGAGAATAGAGTCGAGCCTCGATTAAGGGAAGGCTATTCGAGATCTCCATAAGCCTCATGAGAGGCTTATAGTGTACTTTGTTTGAAGGGAGGATTGTTGAGGATTATTGGGAGTGAGTCCCACATTGGTTAATTTAGTGGAAGATCATGGGTTTATAAGTGAGGAATACTATCTCCATTGTGGACAATATCATACCATTGTGGAGAGTCGTGATTCCTAACAGACCCTTCAACCAAATCTTTTCCTAGGATGCATGTGAGTGATGACAAACCATTCTAAAAGAACTCGTGTTGGTTTGTGTAGATAGTCTTTTCTCTTAAGATGCGAGAAGTAGGTAGCATTACCATGTCGTATGGATAAAGAGAATGTCGAGGCCATCACCTAGTGAATCTAGATTATGAATCCTGGACACGAGTCATTACAAGAAAAATTTATTATTATGTTTTTGTAATTTAACTTAAAATGATATGCTTACATGCTTGGTGGGTGGGTCATTATTGTTAGATTCTAAACTAAAACCTGTCCAATACGGGTGACCCCAATGTTTTATGGCCCGACCAAAGAAACCTACGATGCGACACTATTTCAAATAAGAATCATAGAAGTCTCTAGAGTGTTGTAGAACAATTGGAGCCTTTTTCTTTTGCATATATAATAAATAAAGTTTTAATTTCTCTACCAAATTTTAGTTTTAATCACCGCTTGTTTAAAATTTTCAAATATCTCATGTAAAAAAATTGTATGTTATGATTTTATTTTATCATTATTTTCATTTTACTTCAAGAAAATCAAAGACGCTTCAAAATCAATACCACATGTATATTTTTTAACCATTTTTGTAACCGTAAAATGAAAGTCAAAAGAAGGGAAAATGAGTCATTCGGTCCCTCCAACCATTATAGGGGTCCAATAATGCCCAATCCGAATACCTACAAAACACGAAAATAGTTAGAGAGAAAAGTTGAGAGGAGATCAAAGGAGCCATCGCGAAATCTCGTCGGACCACCACCTGAATCCACCTTCAGTCGAGACCTAAACACAAGAACTCCCTGCTTGGAAGGACAGATGGGCTCGCAAGGCCAACGCTCCTTCAAGATCTGATAGTTTGCGAGGTAGGTTCTTGATCAATCTTCTTCAGATCTAAGATACTCCTTGACGATTCTAGATTGAATCTTACTGTATGTTCAACTAGGGAGGTTGTACTTCAAGATCTGTGAACTAACTCGGCCGAAAAGGATTCAAATCTGAGATTGTTCTTCCAAGAACAGTAAGCAAGAGAAGATCTACCGACGTCCATATATTGATTTGTATGGGAGTAATAAATTAAGGAAAAAAATACCTAAGTAGTTTATTTAAAGATCTACAAATTTGCCGAAGAAATCGTCTTAATTTGAGCCCTAAATCGAAAGATACATAAGTTCAAAGAAACTAACCCTAATCTACGATTTCGTCTTATAGGAGAGAGGAATTTTTCCGATAGCCATGTGTCGACCGGCAACTGGTGAAGCGCGGCTTGGCAAGGCGGGGACACGACTCAGGTGTCGACTGGAGCTACGCGTTGGATGTCGGGTGGAGCAACACAGACACGTGTCGTCTGCAAACCCGCAACCGCAAACCGACCTATAACCATCAGCTCAAACCAACCCGCTGTCCTACTGAGTGAACCGAGTCACCTACCCAAATGGCTACCAAATCGGACCGCTGACCTGCGACTGCACAGAATCAACCCGCGCGTGCCACCTGCAACTAGGACCTTCCCCAGCGTGTGAGGGTGTGTGTAAGGCCATGTAAGGCCCATTTTGCTCCGTTTCACTTCTGCTTGCCCAATTTTCGTCCCGATTCTAATTCTAACCATGTTTTCCTGTGATTAAGGACCTAATTGATTAAAATCAATATTTTTAGACACCCTACTTGCATAGAAACGCTAGCAAAAGGGCATGCGTTAACCATGTAAGTTACCACACTATATTTAGGAAGAAATACTTGTTAGATTTGCTTGGATAACATCCATGCTAGTATATTTGCCTTAGGTGTAGCTTTCCTTGAATGAATTTAGGTAAGTTGATAAATATGAGTATGAACATACTATATGAAACATTATACAAATTTTCTGGATGTGCAATTATGATTTAAGTTTCTGCTATATATATGTAAGTGCTTAATGCATGTTGAAAGGAGGATGGAAATTTGTGAACTCTGCACTCCAAGAGCTTGATGGATGTTATCGCTCCTTTGAGCATGTATGTTTATTTTTTCATGAATTATGTATGCTAGATAACAGTTGCATGCACACTCAGTTAGCTTTCATGATCCAATGTAATGATAGGTTTAGGGTTTTGGTGGTTAGAGTGACAAGTCACTCAGTTTTGACCTAACCTTTTTCCTAAAAGCCTAACAGACCACCACGGTGAACGAACCACCTTAGGAGTATCCTTAGGCTGCTAGTGTATGAACGCTTTGTTGAGGATTGTTGGGATGGAGTTCCAACTTGGCTAATTTAGGGCATGATCATGGGTTTATAAGCAAGGAATAGTATCTCCATTGGTATGAGGCCTTTTGGGGAAGCCCAAAGCAAAGCCATGAGAGCTTATGCTCGAAGTGGAAAATATCATACCATTGTGGAGATCCGTGATTCCTAACATGGTATCAGAGTCATACCCTAAACTTAGTAATGTCAATAGAATCCTCAAATGTCGAACAAAGTATTGTGAGCCTCGAAGGTATAGTCAAAAGTGACTAAAGTGTCGAACAAAGGGTTTACTTTGTTTGAAGACTCCAAAAAATGAGTCAAGCCTCGATTAAGGGGAGGTTGTTCGAGGGCTTCATAGGCCTCAGGGGAGGCTCTATAGTGTACTTTGTTCGAGGGGAGGATTGTTGAGGATTGTTGGGATGGAGTTCCACATTGGCTAATTTAGGGAAAGATCATGGGTTTATTAGCAAGGAATAGTATCTCCATTGGTATGAGGTCTTTTGGGGAAACCCAAAGCAAAACCATGAGAGTTTATGCTCAAAGTGGACAATATCGTACCATTGTGGAGATTCGTGATTCTTAACACGCTGCCATCCTTAGGCTCCTGTAGATACTTAGGTTAAAGAGTCGTATCCTTTGTGACCATGCTCATCAATCACATGCTGCTCATGACTAGATAATCTCACCTATTTGAATTGTGAAGTTAAAGCTAAGTTGATGTTTAAAGAATATAAGATGACTTTGTGTTGTGTTGTAATTGCACATTTCCTGGAGGATGTGCTATGAACAAAATCTATGAACAAAATGTAACTGTATTTTTTCTGTTATGGTAGATAATGACACCAAAGAGACGCAGATCCTATATTGGGCCTAGACTCAGAAAGGAAAAAAAAGAGTTGCATAGGACACTGTTAGGTGGAACAAATTGAACCTCAAGAGGAAGTTAGAGATGTGTCCCCAAGCAAGTGAGAGAACTGTACCACGGGTTCCAAGAATTGGAATGGGCCATAGGGGAGTGGTGAACCAAGACAAATCTGACCCAGACTCTACTGCTCCCCTCCCAGAGGCAGTCACGCTCACATGGGATGTACTACCAACATTCATGTTAATCTCAATGGAAAATCAGACTCTAATGACCTAAATGATGCAGACACTGATGGCTAATCAGACATCAGTGCAAGGGACTAGAGACTTAGGGACTATGACGGTGGAATCCCATTACTTGAAAGCTTTCCAAAGATATAAACTATCTTCCTTTTACGGTGGCAAGGTAGATCCTATTGTAGTAGATGTTAAATAAAAAGCTATGGTTTTTTCTCTATTTAGGTTATTCGTTGATTTTTTTTTTAAGGTAAGAGCCTATTTTTAGGTGCCATTTGAGCAACTCTAGTAACAAGATTTGTTAGCTAGTTCCGCCCATTTTAGAATGTAATATGTTTTAAATAGCCCAATTAAATGAGAAACATTTGCACCCGTTTTTAAAGCAACAAATCCCAAAACTTCCGACTCTTCCTTTATTTTTCTTCGGCTTTTCTATTTTTCTTCTCCTAACAATTTTAATTTTTTGGACAATTTTTCTTAGTTAAGGATTTCCTCGCCAGATGAATTGCTCAGTGAAAGATAACAGCAGAGACTTGGCTAGAGGCTATTGAAACAACCTTTCATTCTATGAACTATCTTCGGGAGTATCAGGTCCATTGTGGGGCATATATGTTGAAAGGAGAGACACATTTATGGTAGAAAGACACTTAGAGGATTATTGCACCACATGGACAGACTATTACTTGGTGTCAGTTCAAAGAAGCCTACATTCGGAAATATTATCTAGTCACTGCTAGAATGAAAATGCAAGAAGCATATATCAGCATTGAGGGGTTAAAGGCCAAGGGATTCATTATTGGTCTAAGGGAGGATCTAAAGGGGCAGGTAGCCCAGACATCCTCTGATTATGCAGAAGCCCTTTGAGTGGTGATCCACATCGACATGCCCGAGATCGACAAGTTACAGTCAAGATTAGCTAGACACCCCACGCTGCAATTCAAGGGAAGAGAACAGACATGAACCACCCTAGAATTGGCAGACGGCCCTAAGGCGGCACAAGTGTAACGACCAATCTTCGACGCATCGAATCACGGTTCGCCACATGGACTCAAGAGTAAAAATCTTTCAATACTTTTTATTGTTTGGACAGGGGACTAAAAGTTCAAAGTTGTCTCATATACATTTCAAAATATCAAAATATCAAAATTACTACAAAACACATAACGAAAACTTGTAGAGTCACATAAAAAGGAAACGGTTGCAAAATATCGCGTGTTTTTCCAAAAACGTCAAAATCATAACCAAAACTACATGGGAGAAGAGGACTCAATCTAAGGGCCCCTTCTGTAGCTGCACGCTCCACACGTTCCCGCCACCGATCCAGATATACTTTTCACCTGAAAAATAGAAATAACACGGAATGGGTATATACAAATACTCAGTAAGCAACCTGCTCGTAAGCTCTTGTCGAACTTAGCCCTATTCACGAGATCTTAAGCTTTGTGCTCGAATAGTCGCTAGTCGAAGACCTAGTGGTGCTTGGAAACGTCTAACTATTACTAAGATTAGTAACTACCTGCCATTATGCCTCGCTAGGCCGAGTCAGTAACTACTTGTCATACGCCCTTGTTGGCTCAGATTAGTAAAACTACCTATCTTAGGAACAATAACTACCTATCACTATGCCGCTCGACTGGATCATTAAGAAAGCCATGACTCGTCTCATTATTCACCTCTAGCGAGTTACCATAGTAATATACTATGATTACCCTCAACCCCTTGTGGGTGACTACTAAAATGGTACATCTATCGTCTACGTAATTCATAACTTATGATAACTAGCACATAATAAATGGTCCAACTCACAAAGGGCAACAATGGCTACCCAAGCTCCACACCCAATGCCTAACAAAGAGTCACGACAACAACACGCCACCATGCTAAATCACGTAATAACCATCTAGTTCAACATAAAGCATACCATTCCATATGCCTATCAGAAATTTCACATTCATGCCAACGAAACTATATAACCAAACAAATTATCGAAGTACCACCTCCATGAACTAAATTTATCCATCCCTAAATACGGTACTAAATTATTTGTCCACAAATCCAAACCGACGCCTACAAGAAATCACATAGAAACTTGCTCCAGATGGTTACTAACTTGATCGTAGACTTCTCGAAACTTTATCGAATCTTCAAGTGTCCACTTGACTAAGCTAATTGAAAATTTTCCTATAAATAAGGCATTATGTAATGTGTGAGTGAAGTACCTAAATCTGAATAAAGACGAATCAAATGGTGTGAAATGAAAAGAAAATGAAAAGAAAAATTCGGGTTTCGGTTATGTACAGGTGAGTCGGGTCGGTACAATGGTTCAGGTCCGGCTACGCCCCATGATTTTTGTCTTCTTCTTCTCACCTTCTTCTTGATCTTTCTTTCCTCTCAGCACCCCATGTATTCTTTTTCAAGAGGACTCATCAACTTCCCTTGACCATAACCTAGGTACACCGACCTAGTGAAACGTATTAGGGTTTTCGGGAAAGGAGCAACAAAAATCACACCACTAGGGCTTACCTGTTGGTTTTCACAGAATTTCGGTGAGAGGAAATTGGGAAAATGCGTAACAAAAAAGGAGAGAGAAAAATAACTCTGACTGCGTTCACGTTGTTTTATTTTCTGAACAAATATCCTATTTAAAATAAAAAGGATTCTAAAATTGGCTGAGAGTGGCCAACTAAATCTGTGCCACTCCCTACAAAGTTTCAGTCTAAAACTATGGTGATCCATTCGACGTGATTTGTCAAATGGTCAAACTCACGATTTTCTGAAATCGTGTGAATAAGAAAAACGGTAAAACTCAGGTTTTATCTAACAATCTCCTCCTAAAACCTGTAGTATATCTACCTTACTATTTGAACTCCGATCTTTGAGCGTAGTTCTTCAAATTTCATCCGCGCCAGGGACTTGGTGAAGATGTCTCCAAGTTGTTCCTCTGTTCGGATCTAATCAATTTTGATGAGCCCTCGATCTGCACATTCTCGAATGTAGTGGAATCTGATTTCTATGTGCTTGCTTCGTTCATGCAAAACTGGATTTTTGATCAGGGAGATCGTAGCTTTGTTGTCTACGTATAGCATTGGTGGATCACTTTCTCTCCCGATGAGTTCTTCCATTAGTCGCGCAAGCCAGATCCCTTGTGTTTCTGCCATTGAAGCGGCAATGTATTCTGCTTCACAGGAAGACAAAGCAACTACCTTCTGTTTTGTTGATTGCCAGCAGATTGCACCGCCTGAGAGAAAGTAGATCATTCCGCTAGTGCTCTTACGATCATCAACGTCACCGGCCATGTCACTATCACTGTAGCCAACTAGCTTGAGTTTCTCCTTTCCGCTCCCTGCGCAGTATCTTACACCCCAGCCTCTGGTTCCGGCTACATAGCGCAGGATGCGCTTGACAGCCGCTAAATGCTCCTCCCTAGGTGCTTCCATAAACCGGCTCACATATCCAACAGAATAAGCAAGATCAGGACGAGAGTTTACCAGATAGCGTAGACTCCCGACAATGCTGCGGTAATTGGTGGAGTCGACTGTCGTCGTAGTGCCAGCCTTCCTTAGTTGGAGTCGGGCCTCCATTGGCGTCCTTGTAGGATTACTGTCCACAAGTCCAGTTGTGTCCAGCAGCTTCTTTGCGTATGCACTTTGGCAGATGGAGATGCCGGTAGAATTCTGTTGCACTTCGATGCCGAGATAGTAGCTGAGCACGCCGAGATCGCTCATCTCGAAGTTTTTCGACATCTCCTTCTTGAACCTTCCGAGGACTTCCATGTCACCTCCAGTGATTATGAGGTCGTCGACGTACACTCCCACGATTAGTCGCTTCTTGTCATGGCCGTGCGTGTACATGCCATGCTCAGAGGCGCAACGTTTGAATTTCAGTGACAGTAAGGTACTATCGAGCTTCGCGTTCCAGGCTCGTGGAGCTTGTCGAAGCCCGTAGAGTGCCTTGTGCAGGCGCAATACTTTATTGGGGTTGTTGTTATCCAGGAAGCCAGGTGGTTGTCGGACATAAACAGTCTCCTTCAGTTCTCCGTTAAGGAAAGCAGACTTTACGTCCATATGGTGAACCTCCCAAGAGTAATGTGCTGCAATTGCAAGTAAGAAACGAACGGATTCTAACCTTGCCACTGGCGCAAATACCTCTTCGAAGTTCACTCCTTGCTTCTGGACGTAGCCCTTCGCCACCAGGCGGGCCTTGTGTTTCACAACTTCTCCTTTTTCGTTGCGCTTCAGTTTGAAGACCCATTTGAGCCCTATGGCTTGGTGTCCCGGCGGCATATCCTCTAGACTCCACGTCTGATTTTCGGTGATGGATGTCATCTCCTCCTGCATTGCCTTCAGCCAGCACGGGTTCTTTTCTGCTTCGGCGAAGGTGTTCGGTTCATCTGCACTGATGGCATGTAGTTCGGCCACTTCTTCGAGCTCGCGCACTGCCAGTCCAGGTGGTTCACCTCCTCCTACTAGGTCGTCCATCCTCCGGTACCTGGCTTCCAGATCAGTATCGTGATCGGCATCCAGCGTCGAATCCACAGTCCGTGGTGTTGCGAATTCCACTGGTTCAGGGGTTGCACCTGCTGGCGGCTGTGACGGCTGCTGATGCTGGGCTCCTCCTTCTTCCGGCTCAGTGACGAGGTACTCCACCGTGAATTGATTTGGATTATGGTCTGCCTCGATCACGTCATTCCACTGCCAGAAGATGCTTTCATCGAAGACGACGTCGCGAGACACGTGAGCTCGCCCCCCTACAGGATCATATAGTCTGTACGCCTTGCTCCCGGGTTCATAGCCGATAAAAACGACCTTCAGCCCCCTAGGATCGAGCTTGGCGAGGTGGGGACGTGTTACCTTCATGTAAGCGACGCAGCCGAACACGCGAAAATGATGTACCGCTGGTTTTTTGTTGTACCAGGCCTCATATGGTGTCTTCCCGTCAAGGCTTCGGGTTGGTGACCGACTGAGGAGATATACGGCCGTCATTACTGCCTCTCCCCAGAATCTCCCAGGCATCCCGGCCATCACCAACAATGACCTTGCTGTCCCGACGATGGTCTGATTCCGGCGCTCCACCACTCCGTTCTGTTGGGGGGAGTAGGGCGCCGTTAGGTGCCGTTGTATGCCGATTTCGTCACAGTACTTACCGAAACTTGTCGAGGTGAATTCTCCGCCTCGGTCTGTGCGCAGCACTCGCATCTTCTTCTCACATTCGGCCTCCGCTCGCGCTTTAATGCACTTAACCGCCTCTGCCGCCTCACTTTTCGCTTGCAGTAGGGTCAGC